TGTTACATTACATCTTCGTTTCGGCTCATTAAATAGTGAAAAAGAAATGTTTGTAAGAATCGCACCTATCGTCATTTACGGGGACGAGTTTTAAGCTACACACGGTAACCCTGAAACGTATCTCACACATCTCAACTAGATGAGGTTACCTTGAAAAGGCCAGCCCCTTAGCCGTCTCACTTGAAAGTTTGCCTGCCCTTCAACATCAAAGTCAATTATTACGGAAGGACAGATCAAGCCTTGTCAATAAACCCTTAACACGACTGGCTGACTTGATAAGACGTGCTTGGAACAGTTTGCCTGTATGTGGAGTAGTCCGAAGGTAGGTAGGAATATATTAAGGTGGGGACACATTACTGACATTTCAACGCGTCCAGTGCGTTCGTGTGGCCGCAACAGATACGCGTGACAAAAACACAACACAAGTGTTGACGGTATTTCTCACGCAGACAAGTGATATGACCTACCTAATGTCACTCAGCAATCCCCGAGTCAGGGCAGAAGACACGTATATTTTGCCGTGTCACACATTTATAACGTAACAGGCACGTATAACATTGCGTAACATTGTACCAAGTGTGGACGGTGATTTTGTACTACCACGCTACGATGTCACATATCACGACTCGATCCGTTTGAAGGCAGTTTCTTCAAGGGATTTTCTTCTTCTTTTTTAATGTTATAGCACCAGTTACATCAGTTATATTTTATATATAATCGACATAATAACTGTGTCCGCCAACGTCAAGTTAAGGAAAGTGTTTATTAATACTGAGAATTTGACTTGTAAATTTTGATGATAGACAACAACTAAAAGACAAGCATATACAAACTATTACAGAAAGAAATCGTTACTTTTACAAATTTTACAAATGATTTTTTGTCCTTATCCCCAAGTCTGAAATTGTCACAGTTTGACAACGTTTATTCACGTTTAAGTCATGTTACCGAGTCTTGGTGCGTTAAAATGTCAAAAATGTGGAATCACTTTTACAAGATTTACAGAGGACTTTGACAGGCCACGGCAGTAACCTATCTTGACTACTTGACATTGCCGAAATCGCCATTTTTTTTTGTATAATTTTTATAATAATACTAAACTACCGTACATAGTTATTTTTACTTGACATTGGCAAAATTATCGATTATTTCGATGGGACCATAACATTTAAAAGAAGAAGAAGATTTACAAGTCCCGTACAAGTGTGTGGGGTCCGCGAAGAACATTGAATTATTTTTAAGTAACAATTCCGTCCATTCCCCAGCAGAGCTGCCGCAAAGCCAATTTAAAGTTCAGAGCAAATAGGTACGACAAATCCTTTATACCTATTCTCAAAAGCCATTTCTTAACTGCAAAAGTTCGAATGACTGGGTTTCGGAATTTTATAGGATTTGACTTCTTGCTTTGAAGGTCAGGTTGAATTTCGAGTTAGATGATTAGGTCGCAGATCTTTTTTAGAAAGTTTAGATTGTTCAAGACGCAAATTTGTGTATTATTGTGTTCGGTAGTAAGATTATTGCCATTATTTTACATGGTCGCAAGCTTAGAATAATAACGCATAGAAACCTAGTCCGCACACGCTAAGTGAGGCAAATTGAAGCGCGCCAAAAGAGCCTACACGAACGGGCGGGCCTTCAGTGCTCAAGGTCAACTTGCACCGCGAACAGATCAAGAATTGTAGCTAAAAATGACGAAATGTGCGGTAAATGAGTGTAAAAATACGTCAGACAAACATAAAATAGATACTAACATCACATTCCACAAGGAAGTAACGCGTTTCAACTTGTATTTTTATATAAATATTCACTAAAACCGAAAATTAACCTACTACTAAAACTAGCCTACATGAATTTGATTTTTGCCTCACTTGTGACAGTTCGTTTGATATGAAACTATCATTCTATACGTCATTATTCTAAGGTCGCAAGTGGCGTAATACCATAATGAAAGTGCCTTAACTCTTGATTACTATCAGAACATCAGAACCGTTGTCGCTAAAACTCACACATTCGTAATTTTAAACGCTATATCGTCTCCTTACTTTCTCAAGCACAAAGTTACAGAAATGCAAAAATGGATTGTATATATGTACATACTGGGTTTTACTTAGGTGTGCTTAAAGTAACGCATCCAAATTAACACCCTCTATAAGATATTTAAAATAAATAGAAAGTTTTGCCATCTTTTGAATAATCACTCTTTATAAGATACGAGTTTGAAGAGAGTCGTAGTTTCAAATTGAAAAAGAAATAACAAATTCTGGATTGTTAATATAATTTAAGCTTTACCCATTGGCACCCGTTCGCATGTCGTTGAAAGTATCGATTACCCATTAATGCAAGTTACGACGTTTTGACTTTGTATTGAAATTTCAATCTAATTGCTGCCATCTAGCGGTCAATAGTTGAACGACGACGACGAATCCGAAATGTATATAAGTTCCAGAAAAAAGAAGTGACCATATTGCAGCGGTATAAGTTTTACTTTCGTGTATTGTAACTTATTATAACTAAATAAAAAATAGGGTGGATTGCATTAATATTAGACAACTGGTTGATGACTTTACCACCTCAGTCAACCGTGACCATGGGATTTGTAAAGGGCACGAAAGGTTGGTTTGTTTTAAAAAACAAATTTACGCGTTTTAAATCCGGTAAAATAGTTTCATTTCACCTTTACTGGTTTGGGTGTCTGTGTGTAGCATATTCAATTCCCGAATGAAGTCCTAGCGTGTTTTCGCTTCGGAACGCGAGATATTGTCTCACTCACATTCCGCTATAGATATTTCAGCCATACCTGATATCGAAGGCATCCGTCTCTTCTTTTTAGATTTATTATACGTAGTTTATTATGCTATTTTGTGACTGGGCAAACATTTCAAAAATACGAGCGCCTTATTACGCTCGATCGTAATAATATATTCACACATAACTATTAATCGTAGTTTAACAATGTTCGTACTGCCTTAATAATTTGCGAGTGTTTTAAAAATAATTACAAAATAGAGATTGATTTGAAAAGCCGTATTTGGACATTTTTAACTTAAGTAATAGTAGTAAGATATTTATTATGAAGAATAACCACAAGAATATTAATACATTTATTGCATAACTATAGGCAAAACAGCAAAACTTGGAAATTACTGGAGGAGGTCTATACCCGTCGAGGGGTCCTTAATTAATTATAGTGTGTACTTAGCAAATATTAAGAACTATATACTTTTTGTAATTAAGGAGTAAAAAAGGCTTTTTTTAATTATTTATAGGCAATTGCATAACATTACATATACAATAAAATATTACATTGGTTTGTGCTCTATAGTCTACCAGATAAAGTGTATATTACCGTGAATATTACTAAATGTCACAGATTAAAATTTGATGTGGAGCAATACGTCGATTTGTTTTGTTTGCCGCTGTAATATTTGGAGGCGCTTAGCCTGAATACACGGCACACTTAGTAAAAAAAGCTGTTAGCTTCGAAATGAAAATAATTACCCTAATTAAAAAAAGAGAAAAGTATGAGTAAATGAGAATGAAAATTAATTTTTTATATGCTTCTATGAAGAAACTCTTATAGCTGGATCTGTGTTTATATGGAATATATATATTTTTTTAATTAAACCGTTTCTCGGATCTCAAGCACGTATTTTTAATTTTTCAAACATACTAACGTTTGGGCCCTTCACAGATATTATGATCACGGTTGACTTCATGAGTCGTCGTTAAAACGTTCATTTGTTAGAAAAACCAAATACCTATACTTACAAATAGTTCTTGGTGAAAGATATAGACGGTCTTATATGGGATAACGTCAGCATTTGTCCTATATCTATGATCAGCACAGACACTTCTGTCCGTATCCTAAGAACTCGATATGATATATTTAAGTTAAAAACATTGACTTACAAATAAATGGACGACGGGTCTAATACAAAAACCACGAAAAAAATGTCCCAAGTCAACCTATTTAAACGTAGTGACATGTAAAGGAATACGAAAAAGCTAAAACGTTGAATTTAAATTGTAATGTCATCGCAGCACTGTCTAATTTTGCTTGCTTCGCTGTCAGTCGAACAAACGAAGACTAAGGCGTGAATGACGCGCTGCATACGATTTTAACGCCCTATAAGTTGGACACTTTTTAGCGCGGACCCGACGTCTATATAATTGTAAGTCAATGGCTGTCTGCCATTTTTATCACAGAGTTCGTACAAAAGTGAAAAGTTACCATAAACAAATTACGAGTCATTGACAAATAAAGCTTCCCATAACACGTTCCTCTTATTATAAACTGACGTAACTTCAATTTTGATTGAGAAAAGCTATTTATATAGGTACCTACATAATTCGATTGAGGCGTCTTTGTAATGATGTATACATTAGAGTAGCCACAGGACAAGCTCAGCCTAGCGTGGAACTACTCGTATAACCATGGCTGAATGTTTTCAGGCATGACATCACGATTGCAATGCGTGTAAACCAATGTTAAAACATAATATTAATTTCAGCAAGTCAATCAGATTAATTGCCCGGGGCACTTCCCAGTACACCCAAACCAGAACCAGTTTAGAAAAAAATAATTTTTCCAATTAGTCCTACCGGGAATCGAACCCGGGACCTCCGCATCCAATAGCCACAATGTAAACCACTAGGACACCGAGGTTTCGATTCCTTAAAAAACGAGAAAGTATAATTTAATTTCGTGCTTAAATTTTGGTAAGTTCCTTTTGTAAATACAAAAAATTCGCTTAATTCGCCATTTTTGTTTAGCCGAAGTTCGTTTCGAAAATCTCAGCCTTAAACTTGAATTGAATTCTTCTTGAATTGAATTCTTAGGTGTAAAGGAAAATGTGACATTATCCCACAATAAGTAATGAAAAAAGAAACAGGCTTTTATGTTTATCAAACGTTTATTATTTTCCTGTTATAAATTAAGTACTAATATCACAAAATATGAGCAAAAATCTTGCACACTACAGCCAGTGCAATTCTAGATATATTATATATATAAGTTACAACGGGTATAGTGTGTACATTACTGCATCTGAAACGAAAAAAAAACATCTTTGTATAAATAATTATAACAAACTAGTGGAGTATTACACAAAAATAAAAATTTAATTGCAGTTAATAGCGACATTTCTAGCCAGGGCTGGTAGCTGTAGGGTGACGAAATACTTTCATAGATTCCTCATAGATGGCGCTACGGCTAAAAAGTCATTAAAAACCAAATACAAAGATCCGACAACAGGCCCATAAAAAAATTCGTGAGGTCCCCTGGTTCGTTTCGTGGTTTAGTTGGCATGGCGTCTGGCAGAGTATGTTAGGATACGCGTCGGTTCAAATCCTGCCGGATCAAAGGATTTTTTTCTAAGTGTTCGATCTTTGTATTAATAATTGTAACAAACTAGTGGAGTAATGTCACAGAATTAATTGAATATCAATTCAATAATAGTAATTTATGTGACTGTTACATAATGAAAGGCATTAAAATACGTCTCTCGTTTCAAAAAACATCACACAAGTGTTTTTATGCCTAATTATGTACAGTTACGACTGGCGAAATGGCGGCAAATAAAAACTTTTCTCACGCATGTCACAGAACCGTAGTTTTTATTTTTAATTCATGTATACATGGTGTCCCACTACTCAACAATAACCTGAAAACAGGTGTTCCCTAGTTTGTAACAACCCAGAAAAATTTTTTTTTTAAATCGGAGTCATGTTTTTTTTGTGATATAAGCATTTGAATGAAAAACATTGAAAATATACGACCTGTACACCTTCTGTTCTGTCTTTTTTGACGATGGAGTAAAATGACATTTGTAAGGTCGCCAGTTACCATAAAATTTTAAAAAGTTATGTAGTTGTAGTCGATAGTTTTATCGATAGATTGTGAAAGAAGATAAAATTTTGCCAAAAGTGAATTGATGTGTATTATCGCCTTCTTCTCACTCACACGTGTGTAACACAGACAGAGACAACGCTCTACAAAGCATAAATTAGCCTATCATCTTTTTCTAAAGATCTACGTGTAATATACGGCCTGCTACTGTACATTATTTGAATAAGCATTTAAATTAGGGTATCTCGCCCACGCACACCCGCTATCAACGTGCCACACAGAAATAGAAACAATATTATCAAATACCTAACGCGGCTGTAGGACCAGGAAATTCTCTTCATCTTCCAACTTCGCGACACAACTGAGGACCAAATCTGACTTGTGAATCCTTAGCTAGAACTTACCCACAGGTGGTACATCCACTTCTATAGAATCTTTTCTTGTGACATTTAATACGAACTTGCCCGCAAACACATCCTGTAAACCATTATTTTATTATTATAAAGCATATTACCACCGTTTCTTACCGGAATATGGCAAAGGCATGAGACATGTATTGGACAGGACATGTTAATGGCATTTCAATACATTATGTATAACTATACAATAATTATACCGTGAATTTTCCTAAAATGTACGTAATAAAAAATAAAAATAATATGATTGAACTGGTGGGAAAAGGGAAAGAATTTCCGCATAAGTGAGACAATGAAGACTATTAAAAGCAAATTATTGATTTCAATATACAATACTTTGTTACGTATTCATTATATATCAAATGGTATATGATAAAAATAAATATAGCCACACACTCATAGCCCCGCTCCAGTGAAAACCTGTGTCGCGATATTTCTTTCTGAGACTGGGTCACTCCTGTTCCCCTGTGTTCCACAATAAAATTCGAGTCAGAGACAACTCTTTGTGTGAATGTGGTCTGGACGAGGGACCCTTGATCACATTTTCTTTGAATGCCCTGAATTGACTTCTTCCTTGCATGATCTTCTTCCTTCCTTCATTCCTCGTCCTATTAACCTTAAATCCCTCCTTTTTTATGTGTATTCTCCCTTAACAGTTTGTGTGATTTTATATGCTCTAATAATGTAATGTTTAGTTGGTTGTTTGTCCACGATTGTTTTTGTTTACCCCAGGCATGATCTCAACAACAGCATTCCGTCGAAGAGATTTATCTAAAAATGAATACCTTGCTGCTACGGAAACGTTGGCGTCTTTGATAAATAATTTGATTCCGCCTACCCCTTTCCGTCTTCGGGGGACTAGACGTGAGCTGGGATTCCACCCCTATGTTGTGGATATTCCCAGGATTCGCACGAAGCGTATCGCTTACACATTTATATGGCGAGCGGCTAGAGAGTGGAATTCCCTACTTGCAGACTACGAACGCTATTACTTGGACCTTTGAAGGCGAGAGAGGGAATAGGCATTATTTAGGTGTGCATACTACATCGTCGACCTCATCATCACTTTCCATCAGGTGAGATGGAAGTCAAATGCGCACTTATTTTTCATAACAAAAAAAATATCGAAACTGACACTGACCCAAGCCTAGTGGCCGCCATTAAGAAATAGAATAGAAAGTATGAAGCTTTATTCGCATCATGCGTCTTTGGTCGAGTATTACTTATCTCACGGCATTGACTTACAAATAAATGGACGACGGGTCTAATACAAAAACCACGAAAAAATGTCCCAAGTCAACCTATTTAAAGGTAGTGACATGTAAAGGAATATGAAAAAGCTAAAACGTTGAATTTAAATTGTAATGTCATCGCAGTACTGTCTAATTTTGCTTGCTTCGCTGTCAGAAGAAACAAACGAAGACTAAAACGTGAATGACGCTCTGTGTACGATTTTAACGCCCTATAAGTTCGAGACACATAGTCCATATAATTGTAAGTCAATGTCTCACGGTAATTGTTTCGGACGGAGAATGAGAGTACAGCGCCTGACACTTTCAAAACACCAACTAAAGTAAACAAGTCAAAAGGTTAATTCTGGCATTTGGCATTTTGTTGACATTTATGACGCGAAAATGTCAACGCGAAACGTAATTCCATTTTCCAGCCAAAAATAAGGACTCTTTCGTATATTAATCAAGATATAACATGCGAATGGTAATACCGAATTACGCTATAGACGAAAACCTTTTATGACAAAATTTTACGGATGAAAAATTGACTATTGCAATGTAAGAACTATATGGTTGAATACCGTACTCTCTGCCTAATGGGATGGCCTGGTAAGATGTTGCTATACCAATCAAAGCGTCTATTGTAACTCGTTGTTTGTCTTTTGTTCCTTTCAATATTTTGTTTTTTATAAAGGGTAGGTATGTAGTCCTTATTTTTAAAAGTTGTCAAAGAGCCCAGAAGGGAGAGCGTGAAAGGACCACTGATTGCAGTCGACAAATATTCTATCAACTGTCGCGTGAATGTTGGTCACGCTCTTGCAATAAATAGCCGAACTTGTTTCATTTCAATCATCAATCATTCATTAGCCCAACTGCTGAGCACAGGTTCAGTTAAATTGTAAATTTTTGTAAGTTCATGCATACATATACTGTGTTTAGAACTGTGTCTGCGCATGAAAAATGCAAAGGGGAGACATCTTTTTTAAGTTTTTAATTTTAATTGAATACAAGTAAATAATCAAATCCGCCTGTTCTAAATCAACTGTATATGAAGAAAAATTGATTTCCGTACTAGTAGACCAACTGTCAAAATAAGAATAAAGAAGGCAATAACGCAATTAGTATAATCAATAGAACAATTTTAATATTACAATTCAGACATTTATGGCAAAATTATACCTTGTTTCACAATCTATCGATAGAACTGTCGACAAAAACTACATGATTATTTAAAATTTTATGAAAACTTTGCAACCTTGCAAATGTCATTTTACTCCGCCTTCAAAAAAACAGACTATACTTTTTTCATCCTCTAAGTTCAATACACAGTTTGATTTCAAATTTCACGTCCAATAATGTAAATAAGTACCTATTATTTATGTATATGTACTTAATGGTTTGCATTGTAGGCGCTGAATGACAAGGTCCCGGGTACGATTCCCGATAAGACTAATTTGAAAAATGACCATTTCTTAATTGGTTCTGATCTGGGTATTCTGGGTAGAGCACCGGAGTGCATTCCGTTCTTTATAGTACAAAAATCCTCCAATATGAGACCGGTAATTGGTGTGACTGTCTGAAATAATATTATTACTTATTTTTGCATTTGCTAGTTTTTTTTTTAAACTAAGCATTTTACCTCCATTTCATTTGTTGAAAAGTGACAATAAAGTTGACGATGGAGCATGCACACCTAAGTAATGCCTATTCGCACACACTCATAGCCTAGGAAGACCCTGTATTGCGGATACCATGGACATACATATAAACAACCACAAATTACACGCAAACTCACGAGAGAAATAAATGTAGGGTGCCCAAAAATTTCTGCCGGCCCGGGAATTAAACCTGAGACCTCTGCGTGGCAGCCCAGCACGGTATTTTTTTTAAGTGACGGGACGAACAAGTCGTGCGCCTGATGGTAAGCTACATGCTTGTCCATAACAGTTACAGTGCCACTCAGAGCTTTAAATCGCCAAGACCAGGGAGACATAAGTTGACAAGTCTCATGTGCCTATAATTTCACCAGCACCTTAATGCTGACATTACTGCTTGGTGGCAGCAATAGGTAAGAGGCAGTACTGCCTTGGGCGAACTCTTTCACAAGGAGCTCTACTACTACTAATCTATATTGGTAACTGTTTGGCCACGGATTCAGAAATACTATCTTTCGCTTAGAAAAAGCCCAAGTTATAGCGTTCAATAAGTTGGTCGGAACAAGTCTGCATGCAGGGATTTCCACTACATAGATGTTCAGTTACTCATAAGAGGAGCAATATGTATGAAAAGTTTCAGCATCGAATATATAACCAGAAATAGAGACGAAATAAGGGCCATCCATCCCTGGCAAATCATCAGGCAAATGGTACTATACTATAATGGTACACTTTTAAATACCAACTCTCGTTTGCGCTGACATCACAAATTAGAAAGCTGAAATAGTAGAGCGCCAACAACTGACCTGTGTACGTCTCCGTTTATTCCAAAAATATTCTGTATTTATTAAGATAATATCTCTAACAATGGCTATATCTGTTCCATTCGGTGGTGTGTGAAAAACAAAACATCAAATTACAAAACAAATGGAATCACATTTCATCGGTAATTAAATTTAAAATTTTGTAATTTTTAAATTTTCGTCCATTATAGCAAAGCTCAAGTAAAACTGGTCGATTTGAAGTGAAACAATTGACGACACCCGTCAATTGTAACGAATTCGGGCTGGCCAATCGGAGCGCAGTTGTCACCGTAATGATTTGGCAGAATAGTTTTCAAACAAATTAAATGACATTCCGTCTCTATTTCTGGTTATATACTCTATGAGTTTCACTTACCAAAACATGGTAACTTTCATTCGTACTTATCCCGTATTTTGATAATGGTAAAGTGACATATTGGAATTTATCTTCGAAGTTTACGAAAGTAAAAGAGAAAGAATGATACTTGTCTCCTTTCATCGGCATATGGGGTTTCACCCACAATGTTAATCGTGAAACCTGAAAATAAAAACAATGTTTTTTTTATACATTTTACCCAATTTATATTCATCTATCGTGTCATGCTGCCGACGACGACATATATGATGAAATACTTTCATAGATTTCTCACAGATGGCGCTACGACTAAAAAGTCGTCGAAGAAAGCAAATAGAAAGGTACGATAGCAGGTACATGGAGGAATTCGTGAAGTCCGCTGGTTCGTTCCGTGGCTTAGTTGGCATAGCGTCTGACACGGTTTGCTAGAAGACGTCGGTTCGAATCCGGCCGGATCGAAGGATTTTTTCTAAGTGTTCGATCTTCATATTCATAATTATGGCGGACTAGTGGAGTAATTTCACTTATTGAATATCAATTCAATAAAAAAATTAAATTCTATTCATCATTTGATCTTGTTTATAAAAAGATTGAGAAAAAATATATATTACAAAATGTGAATTGTTCGAAGAATTATCAGATTACAATTTCAAAGAGTTCTAAGCTTTTATTACTGTGAAAAATAGGAAACTACCATTTGAAATAAATTTTTTGCTCGGTTATCCCGTTTGTTTATATTTTGGATGTCTAATTATCATTCAATTAGATGTCCAAAATTTTGTTGATTAATATTATTGATCTTCTTTCTTAACGAAATTATGTACATTTTAAATGCACTTTAAAACCATTTCCATCCGATTGTTACGAACACCTTAAACTCTCTTATCATTTTCATATATGCTGTGTTATCGATACTGAACTTTAACTGTAATTGATTATGTATCTTATTACGAACGTAGTAGAGGTAACAGTTACCTGGTAAGGTTTGGCCATGATCCCAAGTGGATCTTGTGCGACGGCGATAAGGTTCATATTAAGTAACAGAGATTTGTCAAAAGGCGTCACCATGTTCATGTCGCAGGAGATGATCCATGGCGCTGACAACATGGCGTACACTGCCACCTGTATGCGACTCATGCCCGGCGTAAGGCTATGTGTACCTAACATTAACTGAAATCGTAAAAATAAATATTTATTTCTTTTGTCTTTATTATTATTTAACAGAGACAAGGGTCATCGACATAGAATAAGCAAGCTAAATTGGCAGTAGACTGGTCATATTTGTCAAAGAACCAATAACAGATGGGGGAAGCGAGTTCTTGAGCGGAGACCACGTCTTGGCAAACAGTGTCTGGTCAGTCCCATATCATTCTACCGACATAAGTTTTGTTTATAGTAGCCCTCCCTGTCAACCTTCATATGTTGACATGTTGATTATTGCTGAAATATTTTTTGACATTCCGTGGCTTAGCGTCTGGTATGGTGTGCTGGAAGACGCTGGTCGGAATCCAGCCGGAATAAGGATTTTTTTCTAAGTGTTATAATTAATAATTATAACTAACTATAATAATATTAACGCACACACTCAACATAGCCCCGCACTAGGGCAACTCTGTCTCACAAATTAGATCCAAACTCGCGAGAGAAATAAATGTAGGCAATAAAATATTTCTCCCGGTCCGGGAACCGAACCTGGGACCTCTGCGTGGCAGTCCGACATGGTAACCGTTCGACCACCGAGGCAGTTTAACTAGTGGAGCAATTTCACAAAAAAAATAATGGAAAATCATGGTAGTAAGTACACAATATCACAGATAAAATATGTTCATAAGCAATAACGTGTCAACGAACATGATCATTTGCGAAAAATGTACTAAAAGACATATCTGTTGTTTTTAATATAGGTCATTACACACAGCATGATTCCGGTGACATTTAAGATTTGAAATTTGTAGATATGTGATGATGTAAAATTGAATGAAAAAAAAAAAAGGATTTAAATATTTTATCGAGATAATTTGTAACGAAATGAGAATCGTTCTATAGGAAATATAAAATATCCACTATAGGAAATTTAAAAACAAGTAATAAACAAAATAAAAAGGATTCAATTATTATGTTAGTACGTTGCCAAAAAAACAAAAAAACTTAACAAGAAACAAAAAATTAACAAGGCTCTGTCTAAGCATCTTGACCAGCTAGCCTCGGCTCTCTATACCTACCATATCAGGGTCGTTCCAATGCCCTGGTCCGTGGAACTTGTACAAATTTTCATAATTCTTTTCGTAAAATTTGAGTGTGTAATATATGTTGCCGAATGCGGGCATTATGTCATGGTAGTTTCGCCACAGATTGCAGTACGGTAGCACTGCCGAGTAGTTAGCCTGTGGGCAATGAAAATTCGGTGACCTGTTAATACTCATACTGCACAGTGTTCCAGAATATACATTTCGAGAGAAGCTTAGTAAGTTTTTTTATGATATCATACGACCTGCGCCTATACTCCCTTCAACCATTTATTTAACTTTGGGTATATGCATGCCTCGGAAGTTCCGTAAATTATTGACATACAACCATAGACAAAAATTTGCAATACTTCCTGGATTCTTTCATTTTTTAATTTTAGTGAAGTGACGCGCTCGTTAGCTCCGATATTTATCGAGCCAACAGATAATGTATCGAAGGTTATTCAAGTTGCTAAATTTTGGTACCTGTCTAATAAATTATAATTTAAATAAATTATAAATAATTATAATATTTTTTTATTGTATATTGTATAGAATCATCGGATTCTTCGCCGTATGAGCGGGAATCAGCACTTAAATCCTCATTAACATTAATTATGAATTCTTGAGTACACAAATTGTCAAACACAACATCATGATCCCAATCAGACAATCATCTTCTTTTTTGAACGCGTTCACATTCACGATTTAAATTTCTTCATTAGAATTAGGACAACACTAATTAATTAGAATTAGAGCTGTTAACTAAATGGTTGGACGGAGTATAACTAACTATAACAGTTAACATAATTATAGTAGTAGTAGAACTCCTTGTGAAAGAGTTCCAAAATGGCTGCTTTTATTATAAAAGGTCAAAGAACTTTAAAGTAAACTTTCAGTTATTCAGATTCTCTTATTTCTTGTTCCTTTCTCTCTACTTACCGCGTGTTTATGAATAAATAGCTTATAATAAGGCCAACTGCACGAATACACCATAGGCCGTCCGGTTTCATTCAAAGCTTTCCCCAGATCGATGTATGCTGTAAATATTACAAAAACATTGCACTGACATTCTAATAACAGAGACACGGAACAACAAATTAGTGGAAATGGTATCAAGCGGCATTGGCATCGCCCATCGAGTATATAACCAATAATAGAGACGAAATGTCATTTAATGTGTTTGAAAGCTATTCTGCCCAATCATTACGGTGACAACTGCGCTCCGGTTGGCCAGCCCGAATTCGAACAATAACGGATGTCATTGGTTGGTTTCACTTCAAATCTACCAGTATAACTTGAGCTTTGCTATAATGGACGAAAATTGAAAAATTACATATTTAATATTTAATTACCGATGAAATGTAATTCCGTTTGTTTTGTAATTAGATGTTTTGCTGTTGCCATCACCACCGAATGGAACAGCCGCCCATAGTTAGAGATATTATCTTTATTACAATAAATACAGAATATTATTAGAATATACGGAGACGTACACACAGGTCACTTGTCGGCGCTGAACTATTTCAGCTTTCTTATTTGTGATTTTAGTGCAAACAAGAGTTGATATTTAAAAGTGATATAAGGCCCATTTGACTGTTGAGTTGCCGGGGATTATTTCGTCTCTATTTCTGGTTGTATACTCGACGGTATCGCCACATGCACTCGCTTGTAAACTAATCTCAAATTACACTTCTAAGATAATTATAATCTTGATTGGATTGGAATTATCAAACGAAATTAGTATAATTACACATTTTGGAAAAAAAGTAAACTTATTTGAATCCGATAAGGTTTACATTATTAATTCTATATAAGAACTATTCAATAATTGTGCCTCTAGTGTTAAATTTAGGAGTTCCTAAGCAAAATTGTTCAGTGGTTGATATCATAACAATGTCAACAAGGAACGCCCACTTCGCACTCTCAATAGTTTGTTATTCCGTGCGCAATGAAAACGTTAAAGATAGGGGCAGATGGGGCTTCGTACGATTTAGCCCCATGGCAATTATGATTTCAGCAAAAGCCAAAGTTAATTTAAGTTTAGTGTTATATGTTTCGAACGCTAACGTATAATTCCACAAACCTTTAGACGATTATTACGAGCTATTCAAGTTTTTGTACATCGTGATATTTTTTAATTCCATTATAAAGATCATGGTCCATAAGCTGACCCGATTAATGGATGTTTGCGTACAATAAACACATTCGTTTTAAATTATGCAGTCTATTATATATTTTTCTATAAATCTAGCCATATGTCATAGCTGTAAGCCATGGGTATTGCTTTTATACGTTGGCTATGATCTTTATATCAAAAAGTGTATTGTACCACAGACAATACAAAAATTGGTATTTTTAATCGACATGCGGAATCGAGTACAAGTTATATAAAAATAATGTTTCTATATTACATCGGGCAAATGATTCAACAAACCAAATTACATTATATACTTCATTTACAGTAAATATAATAGCTAAAAGTTTCTTTCGTTATTAGTAAAATTAAAACTGTGAAGTCCTCAAGGCGTTGAAATGTAGCAGAAATGCAAATTGACACTTCAGGGAGTTACCACACTTAAACACATGAAAATGCATTAAACGGATCAGAAGAAGCTTTGTGTCCATGTAGTAAGAGCGAAAAATACGTGTGTTTCGCGTCCCTTTAAACCTTTTCTGACCGACTCAAGCCGATTCCGCTTTAATGTGTGGTGATTGATACCTTCAGTCACCGTACCTCCATGGTTTCAATGTTTAATTTATGTTTGTTTTGTGTACAGTCAGGTTGAGCAATTTTTCTCAGGTTAGTATTCACTGCCTAATTTCCGTGGCAATTTTTATTAACCGACTTCAAAAAAGGAGGAGCTTCCCAATTCGACTGTTTTTTTATGTATGTTACGTATTTGTCAAACGATATTGAAATATTATTTAATATTCGAAAATAATACCTTCAAATATCATTTAATATTTCATGATAATATAATTGTATACTTAATTGATAAAAATTACGACGGAAATTAGGTAGAGAGCACTAACCCGAGAATGACCGAGACGGATAAAAAAATTAAAATAATAGGGGTTAAAGTATGAAATTGCCGATTTGTACTGAAAATCTAAATTGTTTATTTTTTAAATTTTTAACAAATTTATTTAATCAAAATAGTTGCCATTATTATCTATACATTGCTGCCATCTAATGGGAAGGTTATTAATGCCTTTGCGATAGAACTCCGACGATCTAGACTGCACAAACTGTGTGAAAGCATTTTGTACTGCCTCCTGGGAAGAAAACTTCTTGTCACGTAGATAATTGTCCAAATCACGAAAAAAATGGTAGTCCGTTGGAGCAAGGTCTGGTGAATACGGAGGATGACGAATGGTTTCTAACCGCAGTTCCTGAAGGGTCAAAATGGTTTCTCGTGCTGTGTGAGGTCTCGCGTTGTCGTGGAGCAATAATGGTGAAGATCGATTCATGAGTCGGGGCTGTTTTACTGCTAGTTTTGTCAACATGGTTCGGAGTTCGGCACAATAGACATCTGCCGTTATTGCTTGACCAGATCGGAGAAAACTATAGTGAATAACACCATGCTGAGACCACCAAACAGTTACCTTTTTATTGGTAAGTTTTGCTTTAGGACACTGTTGTGGCATTTGACCTGGGGTCAGCCATTGCATTTTTCTTTTCCGGTTATCATAAAGAATCCACTTTTCATCACATGTTACAATTCGATCCAATATTCCTTCATTTCTGTACCGATTCAACAAGGCAACACAAGTTTCAACACGCGTTTCTTTCTGCAGATCAGTCAAATCATGAGGCACCCATTTTTCGTATTTTTTTATTTTATTGATTTGACGCAAGTGAGTCAATATTGTGGGTAAGGTAACGTTAAACCATGCCGCTAATTCCTGGGTAGTTTGACTAGGATCGGCTTCCACTATCTCTCTTAATTCATCGTTATTCACCTGTGTGGGAGGTCTTCCTCGTAGCTCGTTCTTTAAGTCGAAATTTCCATCACGAAAGCGTTTAAACCAAAATCGCACGGTGCGTTCATTAGTAGACCCCTCTCCAAACGCAGCATTGATATTGCGGGCTGTTTCTGCCGCGTTAGTTCCGCGTCGGAACTCGTATTCAAAAATCACTCGAATTTTCGCAGTATCCATCTTTCTTGTCTAAATTGAATAACAAAAACAATTGAAAGTCGATATTCAAATGTTTCAAATTAAAAAAAAAAAAATCACAGAAACCATTTGAAAAAAGTTTCATTCGAAAACCTCAAACCATGAAGATTCTATGAAAATTCAAAGAACCTATTGCAATAAAACGGCAATTTCATACTTTAACCCCTAATATATTAGTTGAAATTGCTTAATGAGTGTCCTTTCATACACAAATTTAGACTATTTAAAATGATGAATTCGAAAAACTGTTTGAGAAATTGCAATTAAGGGGCCGTTTAAAGTGACCCTGACTTTTGGGTATCTTAGAACCGAGTTATTTTGGACGGCGAAAACCTCATTATCAATATAACTGACTTAGGTCGGTCATTCTCGGACTAGTGTTCATACCTAATTTCCGTGGCAATTTTTATTGAAATATTATATAAATAGTATATATAAATATACGGAAATTAGATAGTGAACACTAGTCCGAGAATGACCAGGGTAAGTTTATACTAGCAATTTTAATGAAAAAAAAACATAGATCTGTTACTTGAGGTATACCATTTACCAATTAGCTACCAAATACATTCCACTTGTTGAATGCCGCGAAAAGAAAATGGCGCGTAACTTTCAAAAGTTTTTTTATAACTGTCAATGTCATGTTATATATGACATCTAGAACATTTGGTTTTTCCGTTTTACGCAGTAATCAATGTATTGGAGTACATTTTTTTTTTAATTTTGAAACCAGTTAAAGTTACACGGAAATTAAAAGTTACCTAACTTGGCGGTAACTGATTTAAAAAAAAATGTCGGCACTTACCATGATCAAGATAGGATTCTGCAACGAAACACCCGTCTACTTTGAGATAATCGACGTCCCACGAGGCGAATAGTTTTGCGTCCTTTTCGAAATAACCCCTGGAACCAGGATACCTCATACACGTGTCGTATGCAATGTTCGTATACATGCCGAACTTTAGACCTCTTTTGTGGATCTGTGGTAACAATTCAAATGATCATTATGACGTTTTGTGTGAGGACGGATGAGCGTCTGTCTTCTATGAATTGTCATTAAATATTATGCCTATTTGTTATATAACATACGTAGATACCATATAGATATTTTGTACGACAAAAGGTAAAATCAATCAGCGACCGCCATATTACTTTTATTTTGTCGTAAAATAAAACTTTTGTGAAAACCAATGCAATGACACTTCAGAGGCTAAAATCAATCGTTACCGTTAAGCTACTTCACTATCATCATCCACACACACAAACACACACGCAACGGGTCTATCGTCAGGTACAAGCCTCACTTGTATCTTTGTGTCATCTACTACGTTCCTGCGCTAGTTTAGGTATATGTGAGCGAAGGGAACACATGCATAAACATACCAGAAAAACATTACCCTTCAGGGACAGTTGGGTAAAAAAATAGAATTCTAAAAAAGGGCATTTTGCCAACCCTACCCTTTTCACAATAGTTACACAAAGGAACACACGCACAAATGTTGCTGTTTATAAACTGAATAGCATCAAACGGTACACAATACCACAGTTGGTAAATAAGAGTATGCGTGCACCACTCGGCCTTCGGTTGAGAAATAACACTGACACTTTTACAGTGACAGTTTACGTAACAGTTATGTCGCGCTGCAGACGGGGTAATTTCAACAAGATTTTTCTGACTATATTCAATAAAATTTGATTGAAAAAAGTGCCGAATGGCTTGTATATTCATTTTAATTATCAATTAAATAATAATAATTAATAATAACGCGTGCACGTCATAGCCCCGCAGTAAGGAAACCCCGTATCTCGAGTGCCATGGACACACAAAGAGGAGACATATTTTAAAAAATTTTCATTTTAATTCAATACAGATAATTAAGTCCGCCTGTTCTTATTGAAATGTACCTATATCTTACACGATTAAAAATTGATTTCGATACTAGTAGGCCAACGTCATAACATTCACAATTTAGAAATTTTAGGCAAAAATATTGCCACAATTTATCGTACAGGGTCAATTAGAGCACGTCAAGCTTGACACTTAAGATTTAAATCCAACTCTATGCCGCTTACGATAAGAACGGTACAAGGTGTCAAGCTTGACGTGCCTTCTTCCACAAGTTATCGCTAAAACTGTCGACAACAATTCATGACCATGTAAAATTTTATGGAAACTGGCAACCCTGCAAAATGCCATTTTACTTCGACTTCAAAAAAAGATAGACTATAAAAAATTTACGTTAACGTTAAGGGGAACCAGTTTAGCCCACCGGCGCAAAGTTGCTCGTTTGTCGGTTTTCTACACAATATATTTCGGTGAGTGTGCTTATGAGGTCAATTAGCTCATCCCGCCCGCCCCCTTTTACCATCCGACATCCAGACGTACGGCGGGATGTCATCCTTACTTGGTCGATATCTCCTTCAGGCGTACTAATCATCTCAAATCATCAAGGTTCATCATCTTTTATTATGCGCACAGTCCAGGAGTAGAATTCCCTGCCTGCGACTGTGTTTCCAAGCACATACAATCCGATTATCTTTAAGGAGCGACTGAATAGGCATTTTCTGGGCGAGCTCGTTCCATCGTATATCCTATCTTTGCTCCAGGGCTAAGTAATGGTCAAGAGCAAGTCCATTTCATTAAAAAATATATATATATATATTATATATATATAAATATATATATATATATTTTAAATAACGCACACTCAACATAGCCCCACACTAGGGAAACCCTGTGTCGCGGGTGCCATGGACACACACATAGACAACCACAAATTACACCCAAACTCACGAGAGAAATAAATGTAAGCCATACAAACATTTCTCTCGGCCCGGGAATCGAACCTGGGACCTCTGCGTGGCATGGTAACCGTTCGGCCACGGAGGCAGCTATATATACTTAATATATATATATATTAAGTACGGTGTAAATACTATGTTCTGTTACTGTACGTAATTTTAACCGAATATTACCTTGTAGTAAAACATTAAGGTACACTTTTAATTGCAGTAGATGAATGAGCGGGAACATTATAATTCTAAACAATACTTCAGAATGCAATTAACTTGTCAGTCATTCTCTTGTACACATATTGTTACTAGGATTATTATGGTTTGATTAGTTGAATAAATGAGAGATAGGTGTTTTTGCTGATTCATGTTCCATCCCACTGGCACAACTGGCTTGACAGAGTAGAGGTCAGACAAGTGCCTAAGTTCCATTATTGCAACCCACAAATACTTAACAGGAGCATGACAAGAAGCCTTTTCTTTCTGCAAACATGACCCTCCTACTAAGTCCATTAATTTATTTTAACTAATGAGGGTTAAGCCTATCAGATATAGCGAGATGGGTGGATGACATCATCATTGTTGCGAGCCGTAGATGTGTAAGATATTCGTCATAAAAACTTACATAATCTGCAATGTACTTCATACCCCGAGGAAACCGTTTACGATCTGGTACAAGACTTCCAAATTCGTCCCGTGTCCTTTCTGACCAACAATCGTCGATTATAATGTACTCATACCCTGCTTCTTGGTAACCTTCGGTGTAAAATGCGTCGGCAACTGATAGGATCAGTTTTTCACTGAAAAATACAAAGTTCAGAAGTATTTTGCATATGACAAACAATAACAACCATTATTTCTCACTACAGTGGCATGAGTTTCATTCCCCAAAAGAAGTGTTTAAGGCCCAGTCCATAATGCAAATTACAATAAGACATTTTATAATTCATGAAGCAAATTATAAATGGTGTTGTGTGGCCATAGTAATAAAAGTATAACCATGGAAGTACAAAAGTCACCTAAGGAGAACCTTAAGTTAGTACACCATGCAGATGATAAAATGCATAATGCCTATAGGTTTTTTAATGCCTCAAGGCATATTTCCAAAAGCATAATAGCATAATTAATTTATGCCTAAATGTTTTTGTATATTCTACGCTATGCATTGTTCAATCATGGCTAATTGTAAAATTTTACAAAAGAACTATTTTGTATTGTCCAACCATTTCAAAATTTTATGGCAAATATCATACTAACATTTTTATCACTGTGAAGTAAACTGTCAATTACTCACTCTAAACACTTATTAGGATTATGTGTACAATTATCCGCACACATATACCACCCCCATGACATCCATCCCATTGGTGGTAGTTTCGCCAGTCCATTGTCCAATAACCAACCATTGTCAAGGATCAATAGTGCTATGTATGCATGTAGGAGTCTGTGTGATGTAAGCATTGTGTGCAATCTGAAAAGGGACAACAGAAGTCTTTAATCATTAGTAATATTAAGTTTATTGAATGTCATGATGTTTTAGTACTACAATATTTAATTATTTCTTGTGAAATTACTCCATTAGTTTGTTATAATTATTAATACAAAGATCGAACACAAAGAAAAATTCCTTCGATCCAGCTGAATGCGAAGCACCTACACCATACCATGCTTGACACTCTCCCAACTGAGCGACAGACCGAACCAGCAGATCTTACGAATTTCTCTATGTGCTTGTTGCAGATCTTTGTACTTGGTTCATAACAACTTTTTGCTATAGCGCCATCTGTGAGAAATTTAAGAAAGTTTCAATTGTCATTAACCAACATACAACACACTGCTGGGTATAATTCTGCTGGCATTAGTTGAAAGGGTGCATGTGGACTTTAAAAAAAATGTTATGTATGTATACTGCGCTGTCAGTAAAATAAGGTCGACTTGTCACGGTTTTAATTCTCTCTAATAAGATATGAAGTATTGAGTATATGAAGTTACCACAAGAGAAAAGTAGACTAGACTAGATTTAATTCCTTTAAACATTATTTTCTCAGTTTTGAGTTTTCATCACAAGCATCCTACCATCTAACAGTGGCAGAAGTCTTCTCTTTAGAGTTTTAAGTGTAAGTGTATAACTGGTCCATAGCTTGGTGAAATTACAGTTATTCAAAGGTCAATCTACTCTAACGGATGTTTTAACAAAATGTTTTTCATTCCAAGTGACAATACAAAATATACGTCCCAATCAGAAAAGAAAAGCAAAGGAAATCACACATTTCTTGAATACTGTCCATATTGGTTCAGAGTTGTAATTAGCGGTGACTAAAATAGATAAATTCCAGTAGCACTGGTAAACTGCACAGGCCCTGAGTCATTATCATCATCTCAGTTGAAGACATCGACTACAGCCTTCAACTTCATCAACCGTGACCATGGGACCTGTAAAGGGCCCGAAATGTCGGTTTGTTTGAAAAAATAAATATATACACAATTTAAATCCGGAAAAATAGTTTCATTTCCTTTGGGTAACAATCGCGAAAACCTACAAACTCGATACAGCCTTCACTTTATAGCTTTGTATAGTTAATTGCACAATTTTTCTAATAAGACCTGGAATAGGCCACTTTAAATAAAACCATAGCAGCAATTACAACACAATTGTTGCCAATAAAGTTGACAAAAACAGAGATGTCTTATTGCATATGATATGAAAAAAATCAGTTGTCTTAGATTCAAATGTCATGCATGAACAATATGGACAGAATTAATATAAATATGCATTTTATATAATTTAAAGAAACAACATACAGTAAGACTCTTATATTGTACATAGTGCAGTTTACCATCTGTAATAGAAGAATAATTAAAATCTATGACCTGGCAGTATGGGTAGTACGCCTAAGCCAGTCCCGAAGGAAGAAAAATTTCAGTGCGTACAGTAAGATCCATAATATTGGTTTTATTTTAGAATAATTGGATAAAACTACATAAGCACATCAGCCACCAGAAGCACTAAGAAACAACGCGTAATAAAACAGCTAGAAAAGTAGTAAAACAAGTACTTACTTGAAATTCGCTATCAGTGCAACATACTTTCGCTCTCGCGAGCTCCGAAGTCGGCAAAGATAATAAAACAATGAAACTAGTTTATATCACATAGCCGTGACAATCTAACCGAATTCAGTTACAGATAAAATGCTATGTATCAATAATTTCTGCAAAAATGCTCATTTTTACACAATTTTACTTCAATGTACACAGCTTCAACTTCAACAGCTTCGCTCACATTCGAAATCTTCAACACCACTTTGTTTTTCAAAAGTTTGTCAACAAAAAATGCCAAGTTGACAAGTTGACAATGCCAATGTTGCCAGGGCCCTTGTGGAAAAATTACATTTTGCTCTCCGAAAAGTTACATTCTAAAATGCAAAAATTATGCTTTACAAGTTCGTTTTTTTATTACGAATTTTATTTGTAAAAGATGTATAAACACCTAAATCCTAAAAATAAAAGAAAGTACGCTCAAGAAAAAATAAGCATAATTATTAATTAATTTGAACTAATTTTGTCTGTGTCATGTTGACGTAATTGCTTACTCGAATTGACTCGACTCGGTGACTGACAGCAACGACGAGTTGCCGAGTTGGGCAGGATCGGCCGACCGATCGCGACTCGAGCGTACTCCGAAGGTGTCGCCGAAAAGTAATTCGATATGACTCGTGTTATCGAGATAAATAACTCGACTAACGATGATGCTAATTTATCATACCGTTCCGTTCTACGGATAATTTTATTATAATTGATATATTTTGTATTCCAGGGTTCTAAATCTCAAATTCATCTACAAAATCGAAATAAATGTCATTGTTCCCTTCTTCATTATGTATATGGAGTTGACAAAATCTAAGTTCCTGTGTGACACATCAAAAGCAAGACGTCACGTACGGGAGCGATCGTGAGCACAATAAAATGTAAGTGTACCCGATCCAGACGATTTAAGTAAAAGGTCGGGACTCTGCCTGCGTGTTATGGCCTCCCATGCACTTACAAAGTAGAAAGGAAAGGTTAAACATATAAAACTGCGAGATAGGTATAAAATAAAAGTCTGTTATAAAATATTTTACAAGGTTTTTTGCAGACTTCTCTATAGATAGATGTTTCAAAACTATACTTTCAATGTTTTCCTATATAAGTAACATCCCACTGGATAAAATAGATTAGGTACTCTAATTCATTTAATAATCCAAACCACAATTTGGCTGCATAATTGCAGAAATACATAACAATAATCATTAAATAGCCCTTATGTTTAGTAAGTCTTTGTAATTTTTAAAATAAATTATATCTATGGTTAATGTTAATTATTCTGTTTACAAATTGTTGTAGAAATTAATGAATAAAGGACTTGAAGTAGAAGTTTTTTCTTTCAAGTTATAACTTCAAGGTTTATGGACGTGCGAATTTATATCTTGTGAAGGTATAAGAAACCGCGGGGCAAATATTAGTGAAGGTTCTCAAAGAGCCTGTAATTTATGTGTGACGCCATTTCGCTTGTGGCTCCCGAACGTGGTAGACTATGCCTTTTTGTATCATAAAATCTGAATGATACTGTCCCCAACAACCCTTTTGTGTCTGTCAGTTTTTTCATATGTAAGGTTTTCCCTCAGATAGGTACTTAAAGTATTTTAAACCTGTTGCCATATATACTGTTTGTTACATTTTACATGGTTATTTGTGTAAACTCTGAGATGGAGTCGAAGTAAAAAATGTAAACAAACAACTGTCACTGTCAAAATGACATGTCACAGATCATAAACTTTTTTTACGGTTGTTAAGGAGTTCCACTCTATTCTGACTAATAATTATAATGGAAAAACACCATTTTGGGTTGAACTATTTACAAAACTTTTCAGAATCATTTTGTATCATAAAATATGTTAAATTAATAAATTGTGGGGAAATGAGAAGGTTCAAGGCCCATAGAAAATTACGCAAAAGAAACATCTTAGAATATTGTTTATATTAGGAACATATGCTATGTTTTGTTTTCGATATCAGTGGCTAACATGTCAAATATTGACTTTTGTTTTTATTATTGATCAATATTAACTGACAACATTAATCGAAACTGACACTGGCCCAAACCTAGTGGCCGCCATTAAGGATTAGAATAGAATAACTGTTCCTCGGATGTTTCTTCCAGATATCACCGGAATTTCAGCAGTTTTACTGGCACACACGCACAAAGACCATTATTCATTTTGTGGCCAGGTTTGAAATGTATTCTTGTAAATATGACTTCCATAACCTTCTCGGTTACGGACAATGCAAGGCGTGGTCTTTTTTCTGCTTCCATTCTAGTTATGTTCAGACGAACGCAAGCAAACAATCGTTACAACAGAGTAAAACCAAAACTTAATAAAAAATAACGCGACGAAAACTCAACAATTAAAAACATAAACTCAACAACACGACGCATATACAGCTAGGAACACATTCGATAACGACAGCTGCCAGAAACCGAATGAAGAAAATCGCGGTGATGCACTGTTGGGGATACAACCCGACGACCTGACCCGTTATCCATCCCTATTGATCAAAAACAGACTTTTAATTTTTTATTCCATTGTAATTTATCACAATTTAGTAATGAACTGATTTATTATTTTAATTTTATTATTCTTAACAAAAAATTATTTAATTGAATAAAGTATTAAAGTAATAGTATTATAGCTATAATAAGTATTTGTGTTTATACATAACAAATAAAAATAAAAAATCGAACACACAATATATATAAAAAAATCTTTTCACAGGAAACACTTTTTGGAGATTATCTTATTATAAATATGGTATTTAAATAAAAAATACGGCTTGATAATATTTTATTTCTACATGCACACAATTCAAAACAATATAAAACACCCTGCAATCGTTTTTAACCCTTTTCACTGTTCCATTATTCGTTAAATATTTTTTTGTAATGGCATCACCTCTGTTTACATTTTTGGACTTTGATTTCATTTCAGAGTTTATGTATGTACCTACTTATAATTCGTTTTTATGGCCTCCATGAAAAGCCGAACGCTAATGCAGGGTTCAATATGGTTATTTATAGCAAAAATATATAAAAAAATTCTGAGTAATTTGGAAATTTCTTCCCGATTGTAATTTATATATAGTTGATTTATTATTTGATTGTCAACAGAGCGAGCGTGGAGGGCGATGGGTGATGGCATGGCGTAGTGCCGCCATGGGGGCTGCTGGGGCGCCACTGGCGGCGCTGCTGGCCGCGTTCATCGCCGCCACAGCGGCGAGTGCGCCCACGCAGGAACCCGTACAGTTCGAAGCAGCTTTTCAAGGTAGATATTTATGTAAAATATGACGTAGTACTTAATATTTTGATGTACACAAGAAATATCCTTTTTTAGACAAATTCTTGTACGGTCGTTTGTTCAACAGTTCTATTAACGTAGAAGAGATAATATAATAAACTAAATTACATTTCACGATAAGCAGCCGTATTGCCAATTTACAGTATGTTCCGCAGTTCAAATGTGCGTGTGAAATAAGTTATTCTCTTGACATTCCTTATGTGTTGAAGTAGCGCAAAGGCTCTACCAATAGACAGCTACAGATACTTTATATTTTGTAAATAAATTGAAGTACGCCTTTATGCATACTCACAAACACACGCAAACAGAAAAGAACTAACAACTTGTTACAACAACGTTCTTCTCGAACTGTATACTACATTTGGGAGTTTAAGTAGTTTAATTAATAATATATAATAAAAATTAAATATTACAGTCCCCGTAGCATGGCTACGCATGATAGTCGCGACCCGCGCGTTAAAATTGAAATAAGCGCGCGCTATTGGCTATCTAAATTAGATCTGATCGAGACAGCCAATAGCGCGCGCTTAATTCAATTTTATCGCGCGCGTTGCGATTATCATGCGTAGTCATGTTACGGGGGCTGGTATAGTTTAATACCGACTTTGAGCCTATTTTACGCATCTGATGTCTGATGTCCATGATAGTATTGTCCATCAATATTAAGTGTGGTAAAATTAAGGTTTGTAGGAACAATCCATGAATACAGTAACAGTAGGTAGAACGTAATCTGAAGCATAAAGTTATTAAGCCTAGCTTCAAATTATAAGGAAATAAATTTACCGTTTGGACCTGAAGTAATTTGTAATACAAATTTATGGGATAAAGAAAACTCTTACAGATTTCTTATTGTATCAAAAGCGCATTGGGCTTAACCTTTATGATTTAAAATCAACTTTATGCCACTGGCGAATAGAACAGTACAAATCCGAAAAGAAAAGCTCAGTGCGATGTTGATTATACTTTTTATTAATTTTAATCTTGAAATTCGAATTTAGGTCGATATTCTTTGTTAAAACTAAAACCATCGAAAACGACATAAATATTTATGAATAATATCTCGTTACCTTGTTACTAATAAATTGATCAATGTTTACTACGGTATCGTAACTATTTTCGCATTCAAAATATCTAAGAACGCTGTTAATATAATATGAACAAAGACAGCCTTTATGTATGGTTCCCTAGCCTTTGTAATAATAGAGTTATTATCTGCGGTCAAGCAAATTTGTCTATTAAGCCCGCATTACGTGTTGGCCGAGCCTAGGCGAGTGAAGGCCAATACCAACGTGTAGACAGTCTATTTGCCTTGCTTTGCCTTCGCTCGTGAAGGCGAGCACCAACGTGTATAGGGCTAACCTGGCGTAGCTTGTCACGACTCGCCGTAACACATCGGTGTCGGTTTTTCTGCACAAATCAAAGGTGCTCGCCTGCGCTCGGTTAATGGTGTACACACGTTTGTCCACCCGCCATTACTCGGTTGGCGTATGTCGCGGTAATACGTGCAAAATATCGCTCAGTAAAATCAAGATATTTTCAAGTAAGTATTTGGAGTTCTATCAGAATGAACCTGTTATGTGACACCCCAAAGACCTTCTTCTATGTTCATCTTACCTAGTTCTATTTTTGTGAATACTCAGCATCCAACCATCTTCTTGTCTTTTCTTTTTTACAACTTTATTGCGGTATACACTAACGTAATAATTATAGCCGCTCATTAAATAAACAGCAGCAGCTGCAATAACTTCTACATCGGCGTCGTCCGTATTGTTTCAATGCACAATAAAAACTGACAGTGGCCAACGTGTGGACAGCTCCACAAAACTCGTCTAATAAATTTGCCTACGCTCGCGTTGGCCTACGCTCGGCCAATATGTAGACGGTAGCACTAGCCGTGTATCAATTTGTCTACGCTCGCTTTGACCTAGACTCGGCCAATATGTATTGCGGGCTTTACGCTCTGCCAAAAATTGCATTAACTGGAATAACTTATACAGTTATTTATCCAACCAAACGTTCGTTTTCTTATAAAGAAATCTTCAAATACTAATTATCAAAAGTTTTATATTGCTTTTAACAGCACCTTAAAACATAAATATACGACCCATTACATCAATCCCTTTCAAAGTCTAACCGACATCTAATTAACGATTTTAATCGCCATCGTGGCTTTGGTTAACGCCCTTTAAGCCGCGTTTAATTATGTTGAGAGTGTCTACAGAAAGTTTGGTAAACACTGGACGTATTAGATTTAAAAAGTTGTTCGGCAAGGAAAAGGCGTAGTGCCTCCTTGTGTAGATAATCATTATCTATGATTTAAGTATCAATTTATTATTCTTCATCCGTAAGTTTTTGATGATATAAAAATTGACCTACAAAACAAACAAACGGTGTATTTTTTTTTGTATTTTCTTTATTATAAATATTTTTTGCTTTAAATCAGAATATTGCTCATGTTTATTAATATTATCCATTCCAACTTTACTGTATTTTGTTTTTCTCTGTATTTTTCGATCTTTTGACATAGTGTAATTAATAAACAAATAAAATAAAATCGGCTTTATTTCAAATGCAAAATACATAAATTAGAAACAATTACAGAAAATTACATAATTCCTTCATAACAGAAAAAAAAACTATAAAAGAAAACAAAGAAGAGAAAAAATCAAGTTAAATTAAATGAGTAATAAAAAACATATCGAAAGGGTTTCTGTAGAGACTATAATTATATACATAGTCCTCGCTGTTATACCACCATGGCCCGCTGAGGTTAGTATGCTGCGGTAAATAAATGGGGTTTTATTTCTGATAAGAAATAAAAAATGGTGGATTTTTAGTGCTGACACTTATTACCCGGTAAAATATACATTTTTTTTATATTATATTACGTTTACAATTTCTTAATTCCTTGTTATCATTTTTAATCATTGATGGCTTTTTAGCCAATGTTTAGTTAATAAATAATTTTAATTAATGAATTATTATTGTATTAATATTGCTTTTTTTCATTCAGCCATTTTTTTTGACATTTTCTTGTAGAGTTGCCAGATATTTCGACATAACGCATGCGCCGTTGCGGTACGACTAGTCTCGATTTGTGAGATGCGAACGTACCTAGTTGTGTGATAATGACTGCTAATATCTCCAATAGTGTAGTACCTACTGCTATACAAATTGTTTCCTTTAATTAGGTACAATTAATAATAATCTGTTTTATAAATAAATAAAATAAATAAAAATGCTTCAACCATCTTAAGTTTCCGAACGTATCTACACGTATTTGAAAATTCGAATGTCGATCTTCCTACCCACCACCTACCCACAATGGCGTAACCACAGATCTAAAATAATCATGTGTGTATAACAATACGTGCTTTTCACGGTTTTTTTTTCTTGAAGCAATAAAATTTCAATTAATCAGTAGCCAGTCAGTGGAACTTATTAGTTAGTTTCTTGATACTGTAAAATATCAGTTTTGATGTAGTGGGTTAAAAACTTTAACCGGGGTACCTAAATAATAATCGGTAGAGTATTTTTGATAATTATTGTAAAAACTAAGTAACAATAAAAACGTGACATTAAAGTAATAAACAAGAATTTAATTGGGAGAAAAGACCGAGCACATGAGAACAATCTCGAACAGAATGTTAATGGCGGATTCTTGAATACTAATTAGGGCGCGCGGGAGTGAGGGTCGGTAATCGCAGACCGAAGGTACTGGAAGTAGTTTGGTTATTACCATATTTGGTAATGGATAAGTGCCTCATATCATGACAGTTGTCGCTAGCTACCGCGTAATATGTTTGTATAGTATAAAATGTTGTTTCTTCTTGTGACCGCTACCACGAGCGCTAGCAATAACTTGTGTAGTACTATTTTATACTCTTACTTTACTTTGTTCCGCTATAAGAGATATTTAAAAAATTCCCCTTAAACTAATATCGTAAGTTCGTTACCTAATAAGTAAAATGATATCAACAACTTCTAAAAATAAAACTAGAAATATACACAATTTTAACGTTAACCTCTCTTATAGATTACATTTGTAGACAGGCTTTAGTTTTGATCAACTGATTTGAATACAAAATTTTGTATTTACCTATAAATTAAAATCACTTTGTTTTTATTAAATTAAAATACAGTTTTATTACTTTATATATATAGTAATTTCGTTACCTGCAAACTTATTATTATTTCTTAAAGTAGGCTAACTAAAACGTCTCTACGAATTTCATATTATATGTATGGGAGCGTTTAACAACTTTTTGGACATTTATAGTTTAATATTTAAAAAAGTTATTGATATCGTTTTATTCATTAGATTACTTTCGATATCAGTTTAAAAGTTTTTGCTATCTCTTAATATTTACAATTAACAATTACACCTTGTATATCTAAAAGCCGAAGTTTGCCCAGAGATCGTGTGCAAACACATAATGTTGTCAAGCTAGTATAGAATAGTTGGATTGAAACCCGCGCTTTCCGAAAACATCACATGAACTCTGAAACCCCCGAACCCTCCGGTTGTGTTTGTACCAACCCCTCTTACTTTTGTTTGTAGTTGTACGCGGGCTTTGTTTGAAAAGGACTGCAATTTGCTCTAATGGAACTCTCATATTACAAACAGTGCCGGATTAAGTTATCGAGACAATGGAAGTTTCTCGAACTAAATTTAAAATCTTTAAACCAAACGTAGAACAATGTACTTTTACGTCTTCTAATTTCTTTTATTTCATCAAAGAACGTAAGAGAAAGCTATTGGCCATATAAAATCTTAATAATTATGTCATTGCTCTACAAAATATCAAAATATTGAATCTGTAGGGACACGCAGTATCAAAATTTACGAATAACGACGTTACGTTAACGAATTTTAACTGTTTTTGAAAGAGAATTTAGTGCTGTATCTTTTGCTATTTAATACGGATATTTGACCACTTGTCCCTAGCCGCGGTTTAGTTAGAGGG